TATATATATATATAAAAATAATTATACACATTATTGATAATGATCTATTGCAATAAAGAATTAACTGTCGTTTTTGTTTCCAATTATAGAAGCAACAGCGGTTGTACAAGTGAAGGATGTAAAACTAATAGAAAAATCTAAAGACAGTGATGATATGTATATTGAGATATTAATTAAACCACAATTCAACGAAAATATTAAGTATATGAAATGAATATTTTCAATAAACGTAACGATACAGATTTTCTCTCTTTATAAAATCAATTAATTTATTCGTCTGTTTATCTATCTTAAAGACCTGTTGGTTACGAATTAATGAAAGGAAAAACTGTCGCAACTCCGTATACGCGTATTGGCCCATTAGAGATTGGACTTTTAACAGCTTCTGGTCGCAAAGAAGTTATAGTCATTAAAAATACACCTATAGGTGTGTTATCTATCGGAAATAATTTAGAGGAACCTGGAGAAATGTTAACACCAGGATTTGTCTACGATATTAATCGAATTACTCTAATTACATTACTTAAAGAACAGGGTTACGATTCTTTGGATTTTGGAATCGTGAATAATATGTGAGGATACTTAAAATTTATCCCGAATTTGTATGCTAATACTCTTTACTCAATTTACTAATTGTAATTGATTTTCATTTTTCCATCGAATATATAATAATTAATTCAATGAATAATTTACATTTCAGGATGGCACCTATAAAAAATAAAATTGATGAAGCTTTAAAGAAAGTAGATATACTTGTGACAACAGGCTCGACTAATAACAGAGATTTAATGAAAATTATTTTGGAGGAATATTACAAAGCAGACATACATTTTGGTAATGTCTTTCTTATTAATAATTAAATATATCAAAAGAGAAATACACGCCTTCTGCTTAAAATTTAAACGCATTTCTTTAGGAAACGTAAATATCAAACCGGGGAAGTCGACGATATTTGCAACGTGTGAGATTGATAACACAAAGAAATATTTCTGGTGTCTATCAGGAAATCCAGTATCCGCTCTCATTACCGCGCGAATATTTTTTTTGTCCTTTTTGAATGAGATGTACTTCAACTTCTACACGGAATATGCTATAATACCAGCTTCTGTAAGATTATCGCAATCTCATATGTTACGAAAAAAAATGCGATATATATTGTTATAATTTTTTATAACCTCGTAGATGGAATCTGAGTACATCTTGCATAGCCGTTCTAGAGTGACATGGACAACTTTGGGATGGATCCCGGAAAGAAACTATGCATTAGTTCGTACTAAGGGAAATGCTATCAGTGATAAGTTGATTAGTGCCATAGGAGCTAACGCAATCTTAATGCTACCAAAAAAAGAAGACGGAAAAATAAAACTTAAATCATTTACACAAGCCTTACTTATAAAAATTGCTAATACCAGATACTTTGACAATTATTTTTTAGATTTTAATGAAGTTTGAAAAAGATCAAAAACTCTTTAAATATATGAAATATTCAAATTGTTAATTTTTTGACAAAATAGCTGTTGTTATACTGTGGGATATTATTTTATTTGAATATAACATAATCATTTCATTTGACTTCTTTTTAATATCTTATTTTTTATCTTTTATTCTTTCTTTCTTCTTCAAAAACAAGATAATAAAATAATATTCTATGAAATATTGTAAGAATGTTAAAATTATTTTATTATTATTTATGTAATATTTAAAAACAATTTTATATATATATAATTCTAGCTATAATTCACATGTAATTATAGGCATATACACGTAAAATTTATAAACAATAATTTGCAAATGTGAGACTTTCCTTGCAAATATCTAATTTAATATCTACCCATTCATTATTAAAAGACAGTAATTAATTACTTATTTGGAATAAAAATATACTAAAATATTGGACGACAGTGTTTTTAATACTTAAAATAAATAATTATTGTTAATTATCTTTCAGTATTTAAATCCTTCAATATTATATTTCTGTATAGGGTTATTACATTATAGTTTTCTGTCATAAATCATTCAAACACATTTAGAGACATAAGAACAAAATAGTAGAGAACAAAATTTCACAGATACATTGATACAATTTTCATAATCATGAAGATATAGATAGCTAGTTTTAGACAAATTTTTATAACTATCAAATCTAATAATAATAAGTGAAAAGTAAGTATTATTAATTACTGATACAATTTAATTCATTGCCGACATAAACTTGTCTACATTAAAATTCCTTTTCAGAAAGAAATCTGAAAGTGGACGTGTCCACATTTAAGATAATAAAATACATTTATTAACTCTTTTTTGTCCAAAACAAACACGTCAAAAAAACTAAACAGCCATAAATATTTCAGGAAGGTAACACATTCACCAAATGGTCTCTAATTTTGTTCTGTGTTCTGTGTTATATTGATTCTATTTTAAACTGTATCTACAGAGTATAATTGCATAACAATGCATTACAAAAATAATTAAAAATTAGAATAATTTAAGTTTAAAAATATATTAAAAATTAAAAAAAAAAAGCATCGAGAATATTTTAATAATATTTCTATGCAAAACATATACCAAGAAAAAACAAAGACGGTAATATCGCAAAGCAATTTTTCACTCTCTTTTACTAATGCGGATGATAAATGGAAATTATAAACTATTTAAATAAAAGTTTCCATGTGTTAATTATTCTAGACAGATATTTTAATTAGAATGAATTTTATATCATGTGAATTTTTTTTAGCTATTTGATTTCAACAATTATTGATCAGTTTGGAAATCCGAACTTTGAGTAACATATCGCGTTTAATTTAATGATAATATGTTACCTAAAACATAGAAGATCTATTAACTCATAAAATTTTATTTTTTTACTCACCAATCACAACAGTGGAGTTAATCAGCTACGACGATTCTGCAACATATGGAGAGATAAAAGATTCAAATTAAAGCACAGCTCGATTAAAATAATCAATATTTCTTGAAAAATATTTACGCAAAATTTTTATTTATTTTTCAATTAGATTTAATAAATAATTATATATTTTCCAAAGATCTTTATAAATTTTTTAATAAAATTTTATTCTTACATTTTTCCTTGTAATTATTTTTAAACACATTGAAATAAAAACAATTTAAATAAAAAATCGATTAATTTTTCCATAAGTAAGAAATAATATTTACCGTTAGATTGCTTTGCCTGGATCTGATACCTCTCATAGATCTCTTCCCATAGATCAGGTTGTTCAGATTATTAGCTTCGTTAGATTCCCTCGATGTGATCTTTTCTGTCGTTATTTCTGAATCATTGAAATACGATTTGATTAAAAGAGGAATAGGTAATAGTAAAAATGGGTTGTTATTCTCTAAAGCCTGAAACTGAAAAGCACAAGAATAGCAACAAGGAACAATAGATTTCAACCTATCGAAAACTGTATAACACGGTTTCGTTGTAAAACTTTTTTATATATATACTTTTTTATATATATAATCTATGCAAAAGAACAATAATATAACACGACACTGCAATCCTGACCACAAAAAAAAAAATTGGAGCATAAATCGAATATACGGAGCTGTCCACAATGGAAATCGAAGGCAATCCTAAGGTCTCAAGAAGTACGAAATTGACCTATCGTAATTGATTATCCTTAATACATTTGACCATAATTGATGGATTTCTTATAACTAAGACTATAACTCTATGATTGCGATTTTTATTGTAAACCCTATAAAAAAGACGAATACACATCAATAAGTGTAAATGGAGCTTCTACAGATCGGTGTTCAACTAACTTTTTCTAGGATATCTTCATCTCTTGGATGTTTAAAGTGCATTGTATGGAATACATTATACAATATATAAGTTAATTACACTCACCAGTTTCTCTCAGACACTAATCAAATTGTCAGTTTGATAAAACTTTCCACGACATGACACTTGCAATAACGCGGATAATGATCGCGTCGTACTTTCCGCGCCATTCCCAAAATTAAAACGCGAAGTTAACGCCGAGTCAACTGCAATCGTTTAACGGAACATTCAAAAATTATGCGCTCGAAACACACTTCGTGATAGAACTTGAGCATATAAATTCCACGAAATGCAAAAGCAATCAACACACCCTTGCATTCTATTATTTAATAAATGATGTTTACGTACTTGATCGCATTATATAAATCGTGCAATTCGATGATATCGTATCATACTTCGCGCTGTTGAGATGCAAAAGCAACGACCCAATTATTTTGAGATTAATGAATAACTCGTTTGACTTGAAATATTCTTTGAGAGATAATCGTCCGTTAAGTAAATCGCGACGAAACATTAATCTAATTTTCTATAATCTTCCTGTCGTCCGATATCTACAAATAAACCGCGCAAGAAACAAACGACAAGCGCTGTAGCGTCTCTACTACGAAGACGCGCGAATGGCAGAATGGCGAGAGTCAATCAGCCAATTAGCGTGCACGACTAATCCGATTAAAACACTTGCTATCTCTTCGATATCCGTGATATCATCGTAATCAATCGTAATATTCACGGAGGTGCGTTTCGCGATGTAATTTAGACCTGTTCTTTTTCTAGCTGAATATCTCGCATTTTTCATCTTTTCTCTTTTTTTCTTCAACGTGAAGAGAAAAAGAGAAAAGACGAATCATGCGAGAAGTTCAGCTGAAAAGACGCCCACGGACGGTGGTATTGATGCGCGGAAAGTGTATGATAGTGCAGCTACACTTTCCGTGATGTGGAATTGTAAAACAATATGGCCGCTCGTTAAAGACGGCTGTCAAAAATCGGAGAACGAGTATCCTGACGCGTGGATAATTTCGGGATACTTGGTCTCTTTTTTTTTTACGTTCGGAAAAAAATTGTCGTTTCGCGTAAGATAAAACGGAAGAATGTTGACGGCAGCCGCGAGTATGTCCAATAATGGTGGCTCTTACAGTGTCGAGAGGCCGTCCACTCCAGATGCGGATCTCTTTGATACGATGGAAATTCCTTCCTTCATGAGTGGATTATTTCATCCCGAATACAAGAAGTAATTAGTCTAGAAGTGATTCATCTTGAGTGATCTCGTTTATCTACAAAATCGTTCCTTTAACCGCAGAACAATATGATTTAAAATCAGCTTACAACATACTGAAACCTCTGTCATAAATACTGAATTGTACTTTCATCTGTATTATGTTATTTCTATTTTATTAGTGGAAACATATTTATGTTTAATATGACATACAGGCTGCATTTGAGGAATGTTTTATCAATATCCTTATGTCACATCTTTAGTTGCTTCTGTTTTTCACACAAGTGAATAATTTATATTCAGATAATGTCATTACTTGGTTATATTGGTGACAAAGTTATTGAGTAATAACACAGATTTATAACCTTTCGTTTAACGTGAGTTAACATTCTATAAAGCAAATAGTGTTCAGTTTGTATAGAACTGTATAAAACCTAGTTAAATCTCACTTATTAGAATGAAAAGAAATGTGCATTCAATTGAGTTATAACATCATAAGTGAGAATTATCCAAATTCTGGTATAAATAGAAAGCAACTATTATTATTTATTATATGTAAAACAGGATTAAACAGAATAACACTGATAGTGTATTCTCCAAACACAGATGGATATTTTCATAAAAGTGTATTTATTTTAGGCATGATGATCTTAAGGAGATGTTGGACAGTAACAAGGATGGACTCAAGTTAGAAGCCATGAAACGTATAATTGGGGTAATTATATGATTTAGATTTAAGATTTTATTCTTGAAAAATATAAATGAAAATACTAGAGAAATTTACATAACTACATACAATATAGTATTTTCATACATTTTTGTATGCAATATTTTTCAAGAATATAGCCCTTGATTGATAGTAATACTAACGATAATTTTCCTTCAGATGGTGGCCAAAGGAAAAGACGCATCAGAAATGTTTCCAGCTGTTGTAAAAAATGTAGTATCTAAGAATATTGAGGTAAAAAAGCTGGTATACGTTTATCTAGTTCGTTATGCAGAGGATCAACAAGATTTGGCACTTCTGTCTATATCAACATTTCAAAGGGCTCTGAAGGATCCCAATCAGCTCATAAGAGCAAGCGCTCTGAGGGTGTTATCCAGTATACGAGTTTCGATGATAGTGCCCATTGTGATGTTGGCCATTAAAGACTCGGCTAGTGATATGTCGCCCTATGTGCGAAAAACTGCTGCTCACGCTATTCCTAAATTATACTCGTTGGACCATGAACAAAAAGAAGAATTGATAGGCGTACTTGAAAAATTGCTGTCTGATAAAACTACTCTTGTGGTAGGTTCAGCAGTAATGGCTTTCGAAGAAGTATGTCCGGAAAGGATAGATCTTATCCATAAGAATTATAGAAAATTGTGTAATTTATTAGTGGATGTTGACGAATGGGGTCAAGTGGTTATTGTTAACATGCTCACTAGATATGCCAGAACACAATTTGTTAATCCAAATACAGATGTAAGCATATATCTTTGAAGCAGAAAATAGGGAGGAGTTAAATACATAATTCTAAAATAATTTTTAAAATATTGCAGAATTTAGAAGAAGATGAAAATCGGCCATTTTATGATTCCGATTCTGATTCTTCCAATACAAAGAAACCAAAGTTTACGTTAGATCCCGATCATCGTTTGCTGTTAAGAAACACGAAACCTTTGTTACAAAGTCGAAATGCATCTGTGGTAATGGCGGTTGCTCAATTATATCATCATGCAGCTCCTAGAAGCGAAGTTATGACCGCTGCAAAGGCACTAATTAGATTACTGAGAGGCCATAGAGAAGTACAGAGTATTGTGCTTCATTGTATTGCCAGTATATCAATTACGAGAAAGGTAAATGTGGTACCAAGACAAAATACAAATTAATCTGTTATTTAACTGGCATTGTATAACTGATTCATATTTATTCTATTCTGTGTTCAACAGGGAATGTTTGAGCCTTTCTTGAAGTCATTCTTTGTACGGACTTCTGATCCTACTCACATAAAACTTCTAAAACTCGACATACTGACGAATTTAGTAACTGAAACCAGCATCAGCGTAATACTGAGAGAATTTCAAACATACATCTCCAGCAGTGACAAGGAATTTGTTGGTGCTAGCATTCAAGCAATCGGTAGATGTGCAAGTAACATTAAAGAAGTGACTGATATGTGTCTCAATGGATTGGTATCATTGTTGAGCAATAGAGATGGTAAGGTTCTTTTAGTATACTTGCTACATTATATTTTATATTATATATTTCATATAAAATGTTATGCTTTTTTATTTTCCCACAGAGGCTATTGTGGCAGAAAGTGTCGTGGTAATAAAAAAGCTCCTGCAAACGCAGCCAAATGAACACAAAGATATTATCGCTCATATGGCTAAATTAATGGATTTTATTACGGTGCCCCAAGCCAGAGCATCTATTTTGTGGCTCCTAGGCGAATACTCTGACAGAGTCCCTAAGATAGCACCAGATGTGCTCCGAAAAATGGCGAAAAGTTTTGTGAACGAGCAGGATATAGTAAAGCTGCAAACTTTAAATTTGGCCGTGAAATTATGCTTGAACAATCCTTCGCAAACAAAGCCGTTTTGTCAATATGTCTTCCAACTTGCTAAATATGATCAGAATTACGATATCCGAGACCGCGCGCGTTTTCTACGGCATTTCATCTTCGAGGAAGAAAGTGATGTGAAGAAGCTTCCTCAATTCGCGAAGAAAGTTTTCCTTGCACCGAAACCGGCACCAACTTTAACGTCTAGGTTTAAAGACTCGGAATATCAATTAGGCACTCTGTCTCACTACCTGGATATGCCATGCGTAGGATACCGGCCTTTACCACCTTTCCCAGAAGTTACGCAAGATCCATCTGTACGAGATGTCGCGCCGCCTACTGCACAAGAGCTTAAAGAAGAACGCCATAATAGGAAAGAAAAGGAAAAGAAAAAGAACAAGGAAAAGGAGAAACCATTTTACAGTGATGAGGAAAGCACTCCTGCTGAAGGTACAGTCCGATAACATTTGCGTATCGTGTGTTTAAATTTATTATCTTTAATTTTCTATTCTTAATTTCAGAATCGGACAACCAGTCATCTAATTCGTCGTCCAGCGAATCTTCAGACGAAGATAGTGATTCTTCAGAATATACAAGTGAATCAGATAAATCCGAAACGGACAGTGGAAAGAAAAATGAAACAAAATCTGACGATTCTGAGAGCGAGTCGTCGAGCGATGAAGAATCAGATTCTGAAGATTTAGAGGAAGAAAGCGAAACTCAAGAAAACGAGAAAGAGAAACCGAAAGCTATTAAACAAGAAATGAAAGAAAAGCCGAAAAGCAATTTTGATCTGCTATTAGATTTGGATGATGGTTGGTTTGAGAAATGGAATTCCAAAAAATTAGTATTATTGTATTTATTATATCGTTTTTGTTTATAGTTGTTCCAATGACTCCTGTAATGACGCCTAGCTTGGGTGGTTTTCTTACTCCAATTAATTCAACAATCACAGATGGTGTTCGAGAAGTATCGACATCGTACGTTCCCTTAAAAAAGACTACTTTATTAAACAGCATTATAGGGCACGGTTTAAAAATTGAATATAGATTTACAAGATCGCAACATTTAGTTAGCTCAAGTTTGGTTAGTATCGAATTAACGTTCTTTAATGAAAGCAACGATGTCATTAAGGAAATTCAAATAGGAAACAAAGTGAGTAATGTTTCAAGTGTTATATAACATGTTACTGTTACTATGAAATAATGTATTTTGTGCTTTTTTTTTAGAATTTACAAAAGGGTATGTTTATTCATGATTTTACGCAAATATCGTCGCTTGATGCAAACGCTACGTTAGCTTCGACACTAGGCGTAAATTTTAATGATTCCACTCAACCGGCCAATTTCAACATTGACTTCACGATTAACGATGAGAAATATTCATGTCCGGTCAGTATTAAACCACCGATCGGAGAAATAATAAGATCTGTGACTTTGCCTGAAAGCATGTTCAATGCGGAAAAGGCCAAATTGAAAGGTATGAACGAGCACATAGCGAAAATACCATATTCTAGAAATAAAAATGCTCTTCCTCAAAAAGTGTTTGAGACTGCAAATGTCGCAAGAGTATCTAACGAGGATGAAGTTATTCGGTAAGATATGCGTTTATTGTAAATCCAATTACATGTATTTTATAAACATCTCTTCAATATTTTTTAAATCTTAATTAAGACTAAAATATTGCAAATGTTTATAGGTTTGCCGCTCATACTTTAGCGTCTAAATCGTTGGTATTGGTGACAATAAAATTCATTGACGCCGGACAATTGGAAGTTTGCGTGAATTGTGAAAAAATGGTTATAGGATCAATTTTGTTAAACGAATTTAAGAGTAATTTAAAATAAAATGAATATTCTATTTATGGGATTAAATAATATAGATATGTTTCATACATTTATGAGGCAATTTGAATACTCCTTTCTTCTTTAAGT